CTCTCTCTCTCTCTCTCTCTCTCTCTCTCTCTCTCTCTCTCCTCTCTCTCTCTCTCTCTCCTCTCTCTCTCTCTCAATCTGTGTAAAGAAAACGTTTACAGCTCGGAAAACAAATATAAAAACTAGACAATACGATAAAGAAGAGAAAGCTCTTGTAAGTATGCATATAAAGCCAAAGGTAACCATGCAGAGGTGTTCGTAGGACACATTTCCCGACTTTACGAAACAGTTACACAAAGCTCAAAGTCCTCCAGCAACTCTATTGGTAGAATGATCCATTTGGCATTATGGGGTGCTGTTTCTGGGCTCAGTATTGAGGATTGGTTCTCGGTGAGTACTGTGTCCCAACCGACAGGTCCCTGGTTCCATTCCCCGGCAGAACGGAGACGCTTCTGAACTTGAGTGCCTGAACAATACCGCCTTTGTACTGATATACCCCTTTGTTGTACGTGTTTATACGTTTGTTGGACGTGTTTACACCTCTGTTGGGCGTGTTTACACCACTGTTGGACGCGTTTACGCCACTGTTGGACGTGTTCACACCACTGTTGGACGTGTTCACACCACTGTTGGACTTGTTTACACCACTGTTGGACGTGTTCACACCACTGTTGGACGTGTTCACACCACTGTTGGACGTGTTTACACCACTGTTGGACGTGTTCACACCACTGTTGGACGTGTTTACACCACTGTTGGACGTGTTTACACCACTGTTGGACGTGTATACACCACTGTTGGACAAGTTTACGTCACTGTTGGACGTGTTCACACCACTGTTGGACGTGTTTACACCACTGTTGGACGTGTTTACACCACTGTTGGACTTGTATACACCACTGTTGGACGTGTTCACACCACTGTTGGACGTGTTCACGCCACTGTTGGACGTATATACACCTCTGTTGAGTGTGTTTACACCTCTGTTGAGTGTGTTCACACCACTGTTGGACGTGTTTACACCACTGTTGGACGTGTTTACACCACTGTTGGACGTGTATACACCACTGTTGGACGTGTTTACACCACTGTTGGACGTGTTTACACCACTGTTGGACGTGTAAACACCACTGTTGGACGTGTTCACACCACTGTTGGACGTGTTCACACCACTGTTGGACGTGTTTACACCACTGTTGGACGTGTTCACACCACTGTTGGACGTGTTCACACCACTGTTAGACGTTTTTACACCTCTGTTGGACGTGTTCTCACCACTGTTGGACGTGTTTACACGTCTGTTGAACGTGTTTACACCACTGTTGGACCTGTTCACACCACTTTTGGACGTGTTCACACCACTGTTGGACGTGTTCATACCACTGTTGGACGTGTTCACACCACTGTTGGACGTGTTCACGCCACTGTTGGACGTTTTTACACCACTGTTGGACGTGTTCACGCCACTGTTTGACGTTTTTCACGCCACTGTTGGATGTGTTTATACCACTGTTGGACGTGTTTACACCACTATTGGACGTGTTTACACCACTGTTGGACGTGTTTACACCACTGTTGGACGTGTTTACACATCTGTTGGACGTGTTTACACCACTGTTGGAACTGTTTACAAAACTATTGGACGTGTATACACCATTGTTGGACGTGTTTACACCTCTCTTGGGCGTGTTTACACCACTGTTGGACGTGTTTATACCACTGTTGGACGTGTTTATACCACTGTTGGACGTGTTTATACCACTGTTGGACGTGTTTACACCACTGTTGGACGTGTATTCACCTCTATTGGACGTGTTTACACCACTGTTGGACGTGTATACACCACTGTTGGACGTGTGTACACCACTGTTGAACTTGTTTACACGTCTGTTGCCTACTGGAGGGGTTTAGACTGCTAGTGGGTGGGTTTAGACTTCTAGTGGGTGGGTTTGGACTGCTAGTGGGTGGGTTTAAAATGCTAGTGGGTGGGTTTGGACTGCTAGTGGGTGGGTTTAAACTGCTAGTGGGTGGGTTTAGACTGCTAGTGGGTGGGTTTAGACTGCTAGTGGGTGGGTTTAGACCACTAGTGGGTGGGTTTAAAGCGCTAGTGGGTGGGTTTAGGTGGGCGGGAGGTAGGTATGTGGCAACATCTCCAGATCGAGTGTGTCCCTCCCTCGTGTGCTTCACAGGTCTGTCCGGAGAGCAACATGGCGCCGGTTACTGTGTGTCCTGGTTGGCGTCCCCGCACCATACCCACGTTCACCCACCCTCCCTGGGCCTCACCTACCCTCACCCACCCTCCCTGGGTCACACCCATGTAACGCCCACCCTCACCCAACCTCCCTGGGCCACACCCATGTAACGCCCACCCTCACGCACCCTCCCTGGGCCACACCCATGGCACGCATCTCCTCACCACCCTCCCTGGGCCACACCCATGTCACGCTAACCCTCACCACCCTCCCTGGGTCACACCCATGACACGCCCACCCTCACCACCCACCCTGGGCCACACCCATGTCACGCCCACCCTCACCACCCTCCCTGGGCCACACTCCTGACACCCCTACCCTCGCCACCCTCCCTGGGCCACACCCAAATCACGCCCACCCTCACCACCCTCCCTGGGCCACACCCATGTCACGCCCCTCCTCACCACCATCCCTGGGCCACACCCATGACACGCCCCTCCTCACCACCCTCCCTGGGCCACACCCATGACACGCCCACCGTCACCACCCACCCTGGGCCACACCCATGTCACGCCCCTCCTCACCACCCTCCCTGGGCCACACCCATGACACGCCCACCCTCACCACCCACCCAGGGCCACACCCATGTCACGCCCACCCTCACCACCCTCCCTGGGCCACACTCCTGACACCCCTACCCTCGCCACCCTCCCTGGGCCACACCCATGTCACGCCCACCCTCACCCACCCTCACACACCCTCCCTGGGCCACACTCATGTCACGCCCACCCTCACCCACCCTCCCTGGGCCACACCCATGACACGCCCACCCTCATCCACCCTCCCTGGGCCACACCCATGTCACGCCCACCCACACCAACCCTCCCTGGGCCACACCCATGACACGCCCACCCTCACCACCCACCCTGGGCCACACCCACCCTCACCACCCACCCTGGGCCACACCCACGACACGCCCACCCTCACCACCCACCCTGGGCCACACCCACCCTCGCCACCCTCCCTGGGCCACACTCATGACACCCCTACCATCGCCACCCTCCCTGGGCCACACCCATGTCACGCCCACCCTCACCCACCCTCACACACCCTCCCTGGGCCACACCCATGTCACGCCCACCCTCACCCACCCTCCCTGGGCCACACCCATGACACGCCCACCCTCATCCACCCTCCCTGGGCCACACCCATGTCACGCCCACTTTCACCAACCCTCCCTGGGCCACACCCATGACACGCCCACCCTCACCACCCACCCTGGGCCACACCCACCCTCACCACCCACCCTGGGCCACACCCATGACACGCCCACCCTCACCACCCTCCCTGGGCCACACCCATGACACGCCCACCCTCACCACCCACCTGGGCCACACCCATGTCACGCCCACCCTCACCACCCTCCCTGGGCCACACCCACCCTCACCCACCCTCCCTGGGTCACACCCATGTCACGCCCACCCTCACCCACCCTCCCTGGGTCACACCCACCCTCACCACCCTCCCTGGGCCACACCCATGACACGCCCACCCTCACCCACCCTTCCTGGGCAACACCCATGTCACGCCCCTCTTCATCCACCCTCCCTGGGTCACACCCACCCTCACCACCCTCCCTGGGCCACACCCATGACACGCCCACCCTCACCCACCCTCCCTGGGCCACACCCATGTCACGCCCACCCTCACCACCCTCCCTGGGCCACACCCACCCTCACCCATCCTCCCTGGGCTACACCTACCCTCACCCACCCTCCCTGGGTCACACCCATGTCACGCCCACCCTCCCTCACCCACCCTCCCTGGGTCACACCCATGTCACGCCCACCCTCACCCACCCTCCCTGGGCCACACCCATGTCACGCCCCTCCTCACCACCCCTCCCTGGGCCACACCCACCCTCACCCACCCTCCCTGGGCCACACCCATGTCACGCCCCACCCTCACCACCCTCCCTGGGACACACCCACCCTCACCCACCCTCCCTGGGTCACACCCACCCTCACCCACCCTCCCTGGGCCACACCCATATCACGCCCACCCTCACCACCCACCCTGGGCCACACCCATGTCACGCCCCTCCTCACCACCCTCCCTGGGCCACACCAATGTCACGCCCACCCTTACCCACCCTCCCTAGGCCACACCCATGTCACGCCCACCCTCACCCACCCTCCCTGGGCCACACCCATGTCCCGCCCCTCCTCACCACCCTCCCTGGGCCACACCCACCCTCACCCACCCTCCCTGGGCCACACCCATGTCACGCCCACCCTCACCACCCTCCCTGGGCCACACCCACCCTCACCCACCCTCCCTGGGCCACACCCATGTCACGCCCACCCTCACCACCCTCCCTGGGCCACACCCACCCTCACCCACCCTCCCTGGGTCACACCCACCCTCACCCACCCTCCCTGGGCCACACCCACATCACGCCCACCCTCACCACCCACCCTGGGCCACACCCATGTCACGCCCCTCCTCACCACCCTCCCTGGGCCACACCCACCCTCACCCACCCTCCCTGGGTCACACCCACCCTCACCCACCCTCCCTGGGCCACACCCACATCACGCCCACCCTCACCACCCACCCTGGGCCACACCCATGTCACGCCCCTCCTCACCACCCTCCCTGGGCCACACCCATGGCACGCCCACCCTCACCACCCTCCCTGGGCCACACCCATGTCACGCCCACCCTCACCCACCCTCCCTGGGCCACACCCATGTCACGCCCACCCTCACCAACCCTCCCTGGGCCACACCCATGTCCCGCCCCTCCTCACGACCCTCCCTGGGCCACACCCACCCTCACCCACCCTCCCTGGGCCACACCCATGTCACGCCCACCCTCACCACCCTCCCTGGGCCACACCACCCTCACCCACCTTCCCTGGGCCACACCTACCCTCACCCACCCTCCCTGGGTCACACCCATGTCACACCCACCCTCACCCACCCTCCCTGGGCCACACCCATGTCACGCCCACCCTCACCACCCTCCCTGGGCCACACCCACCCTCACCCACCTTCCCTGGGCCACACCTACCCTCACCCACCCTCCCTGGGTCACACCCATGTCACACCCACCCTCACCCACCCTCCCTGGGCCACACCCATGTCACGCTCACCCTCACCACCCTCCCTGGGCCACACCCACCCTCACCCACCCTCCCTGGGCCACACCTACCCTCACCCACCCTCCCTTGGTCACACCCATATCACACCCACCCTCACCCACCCTCCCTGGGCCACACCCATGTCACGCCCACCCTCACCACCCTCCCTGGGCCACACCCATGTCACGCCCACCCTCACCCACCCTCCCTGGGCCACACCCATGTCACGCCCACCCTCACCCACCCTCCCTGGGCCACACCCATGTCCCGCCCCTCCTCACCACCCTCCCTGGGCCACACCCACCCTCACCCACCCTCCCTGGGCCACACCCATGTCACGCCCACCCTCACCACCCTCCCTGGGCCACACCCACCCTCACCCACCCTCCCTGGGCCACACCTACCCTCACCCACCCTCCCTGGGTCACACCCATGTCACGCCCACCCTCACCCACCCTCCCTGGGCCACACCCATGTCACGCTCACCCTCACCACCCTCCTTGGGCCACACCACCCTCACCCACCCTCCCTGGGCCACACCCATGTCACACCCACCCTCACCCACCCTCCCTGGGCCACACCCATGTCACGCCCACCCTCACCACCCTCCCTGGGCCACACCCACCCTCACCCAAACTCCCTGGGTCACACCCATGTCACACCCACCCTCACCCACCCTCCCTGGGCCACACCCATGTCACGCCCACCCTCACCACCCTCCCTGGGTCACACCCACCCTCGCTGGGTCACACCCATATCACGCCCACCCTCAGCACCCTCCCTGGGCCACACCCACCCTCACCCACCCTCCCTGGGCCACACCCATGTCACCCCCCTCCTCACCACCCTCCCTGGGCCACACCCATGACACGCCCACCCTCACTACCCTCCCTGGGCCACACCCATGTCACGCCCACCCTCACCACCCTCCCTGGGCCACACCCATGTCACGCCTACCCTCACCACCCTCCCTGGGCCACACCCATGTCACGCCCACCCTCACCACCCTCCCTGGGCCACACCCATGTCACGCCCACCCTC